GGTGACTTTCACATCTGAGCCCTGTCGGTTGTAGGTGTAGGTAGGTGGAGGAGAAAGCACACACTTGGAAATAGGGGCCTGGCTTAGAGGAGTTCTGCTGAGCTGGGACAAGGGCAGAAGATAGATCTGGAGACAGGAGCACCTGCTATGTGCTGTGATAGACTGAGGGGTCAGAGCCCAGTAAGATAGGACCCTGCCCTGACGGGAGCAGTTAGAAGGCACAGGCTTGACCTGACTTCACCCTCTCAGAGCTGTGAGAGCTGGTCTTCTTTTCCCCCCTATTGTAGTTACAGTAATAACTACCTCTTGGATTGTTGTGGGGTGAAATGAGGTCAAGGATGGGAAGCATCCAACCCTGTTGGTACACAGTAAGCACTCAATAATGCTTACTCTTACAATAAAGCGATCACTATGCCACCGTGACACAGGTTTCCCAACAACACATCTGAACTGGATATTGGAATCACAGGATAGGAGCCCCTGACTCCGGGGCGTGGACGGGAAGAGAGGCGCTCAGGAAGTCTTCGGGGGGAGGCTATACCCTTGTTGAATTTTGCAGGAGTTGGTCATAGGAGAGGGTGGCACAAGGCACCCCAGTGGAATACTTCTCCAGGGTCCCCCAAATGTCCACCAGCTGACACTAGCTGGTGAGGGAATGGGGTGAGGGAAGCTGGGAGCACAGACTTGCCTCCCCCTAAGCCAAGGAATGCTGGGAGAAGGAAGCAGCCTCTTGAAGAGAAGCTGAGCACTTTAAAGAAAGGAGCACTGGACTCTGAGCACAAGGACTTGAACCCAGCCCCCAGTCCTCCACTTGCAGTCATGAGTCCTGGAACGAGGCAGGTGTTGGGTCAGTATAAAGAGCTCTTTAGCAGGAGAGGTTGCCCATTATGGAGGAGAGAGCCTTGTGCAATAATGAGCTCCCTGTCCCTGGAAATGTGCAAACAGAAACTAGAGCACCACTATTGGGGGTGTGGCAAAGGGTGGACAGGATGGGTTCTGAAATCTCCTGGTTCTGTGTAGACCTCTGGCCTTAGCGGACGCCTTAACACCCTGAGGCTAGACTTGAGGACCCGTACCCCACAGTGGATGTTGTGACCCTAGCCACCACTTAGGGGTGCTTTCCCATATTCCAGGGCCTTCACACACATCCTGTTGCTCATTCAGTAACCCCCCCACCTTCCCCCCAGGATTACTGTTAGAACCGGAGGGCAGGTCCTGGGCAGAAATGCTTGGAAAAGAGAGAGACCGCTAAGGAGTTTACCTCTGTATGGCCAAGGGGTCACTGGTAAAATATTTTGTTTTTCCTTTTTTATCTTTTGCTATCGCTGGAAAAGTTTGCCCAGCTTGCTGTACTAAAAACAGCAGTAATAATAATAATACAGTGGCTTAAAAGGGGCGATAACGGGAACTATCTGGGCTTTTGTGTCAGATGACCTATACCACCTCTGAGGAGATATGACCAGGGACGAGTCCCATGATTTCTTTGTGACTTTTCACGATTGTGGTGCGGATTAGATTCAGTAATAGTACTACCAACCGTTAATTTTTTGTAGTGCGTCTCTGCTGAGTGTTTTACTCACTTCCCTCA